ATAATTTTAGGTTTTGGGTGTGTTAAAATGATTTTATTCATTTATTGTATATAGATATAAAATTGAAAATAAAAAAAGTTTTTAAAAATATTAATTAAAACCTGATTTTTGAAATGTTAAACTTGAAACCTTATTTATGAAATTGAAAATCTAAAAACAGGGGTAGGTGTAATTTCCTCAAAAAAAATTGAGATGAAACGGCCACAGCAGTCTTCTTCTTCTTCACCTTCTCGGCGGTCGAACGGCGAGGCAGGGCTTCCGGCGGATCCAGCGCTGGCGGCCGCGGGGGCTGGCTAGGTGCTGGATCTGTCCCTGACCTAATCCATTCTACACCTCAAATTATTACACATGTAGTCTCGAAGTACAAGCATCTAGAAATTTAATACTTTTATTCGGCATTTTTATATTTTTTTGTTGATTATACGTAAATTTAAGTATAAACATTTGATTAAAATGAAAACCGAATATAAATCTTAATTTTACATCTTGGACTACAATATTTGAAGATGAGAAGCAAGGGTAGATTAGCAAAGAATTAAGGCTTGATTTTCTTGATCATATTGAATGAAATTTATTCCATGTATTATTAATTGGTACAAAATGATAATTCCTATGCTTATTTATCCACTGATCTGGGGATAGCTGCCTCATTTGGGATGCTGAATACAAGATAAGAATTAATATATAAGTAAATAAATAAATAAACAAACAAATGAGACACAATTTTGGTATGATATATAGTTCAAAGAGAAAATTAGGACTAGACTCAGAACCTTACCCCGAAGTATAATTATGGATCTCAACCTTTGAGTAAAATTTTATGTTCCCAACTTATATAAATCTCTAAGTCTGGGTCCATATGTTTGAAACCGTCAATGTTGATGCAAAAATTGCATGCGACCTTCACGTAAATCAAAGATAGAGGGCAAGATCATTGAGCAACTTAACATTTTTCTCTCAAATTCAACTAAACATCGCATATTTTTAACATCTATATTGATTATTTTCATCAAGTGAGAATTTAGAACCTCATTTTTTTAACATTGAAAACTCATAATCGCACCACGTAAAATGTTGATTTCCCTAGTTTTAAAAGTAATAAACCCATGTTGGGTAACAATACATCTTATTAGGTTTTAATATTTTCTTTTCTTTCTTGGTTGAAACCAATAAGATTGTCAAGATCACCTCAAAGGACTCCAAAATTCTAATTACTCCCACTACAACTACACAACAAGGAACACGAAAGTATTAACAAATACGTTTCAATGTCATAACATAAAGCAATTTAAAAGGATAAGTAGCGGGGTGCATTGTGTGAATTTGCATAACGAGTTGTACAAAATTCTATAACAAAGTCATTACTCGCTGTTTCTCCTAATTTATTTTCACTCTAAAATACTTTGTTTTTATGACCTCTAACGAAATTAACCATTACAAGATTATACAAGTAACGACTATAATGATTCACAAACATCAAGATTTATATATACTCGTCTCTTCTACTTGTACTCTCACTCTAAAATGCTTTTATTTTATTTTTTGTAATAACCGTTTTAAAAAACTCAAATATTCTAAATATTATAAATGTATGCATAGAGAGATCAAGAGATGTGCAATTGACAATAGGCAAGAAGAAAGCCATAAGACCACATTGTTGGCAACGAGGCTTCCTTTGGAAGATAAAATGTCAAAAATTTGGCTATTCTTAAGACTTGACACACTACATCAACACCTTTTGAAGTAGTAATGATTTTACACCATTACAACACTCAGTGCTGCACATCATTGATACAAGGGAAAAAAATCAAAATTCAGGTGCCTAATTTACCCCAATTCAAACTTCAGGTGCCTACTTTATAAACACAGAATTCAGGTGTATATATATATATAGATTTCCCTTTCCTGCAATGTAGCATCGTTTCCTTTTATAGCAGGACTCTCTCACTACACATTTGAAATTCCCAAAAATTAAATTGAGGTCTGAAATTCATAATTTCACGGCACTGTCACCTATTTCCGCCGCCGGAGACCACAAATAGGTAATTTTTTTCATTGATTTTGAACACAGATTAAACGATTTCACCCACATTCATGCTTCGCGTCACAGATTTGGAAATCCAGTTCCGGTCACATATATTGAACGAATTCACTCAAATTGAACGATTTCATCCACAAAATCCAATTCTGGTCACGTAATAGATGATTGTGTCCGGCCAAAAACG